GCAGCGGGTGAGACAGGTGAGGTCTGCTGCTTTATGTGGGTTAACTCCATGGCTGAGAATCTAACTTATATGGCAGTGACTGGTGATATCTTGATAGTGCCGAGACTTGACCCTATGCATCACGAGGGAGGTCCCATGCACATATTTTCAAGGGATATTGCTAAATCATATTTTTGTATAAAACCTCCCAACATTTAAATGGTGGCAACATAATATTTTAAAAATTGTTTAAGTGTTGAGCTTATGTAAAATAGCGCTTTAAAAATCTCATAGTAACATCTATATAAAGATCTTATAGTAGCATCTATATATATAAAGAATTGTTCCCAGAAAAGAATATAACCTGTGCTGTAGCTGAAGAATTTGGTAAAAACATGTAGCCAAAACATCCAATAATTTTACCTTAAATGTTAACAATTCACTATTATTTTGAAATAACTTTTTTTCACCAGTGGTCTACTGTATAATTTTTAGTTTTTTTGAAGAAATTTAGGCTGTACCCACTCATTAAGTTTCATTGTCAAGTTTCATTTTTACAGAAATTTGATATACAAGTTTTTAATACATACTGTTTCTGACAGCTGCAAATGGAATTTAAGTTGCATTTAAATTTAACATTGTGAAACTTAATTGAATTCCAGATTCACCATTTCAGCAACCTCTTTTTGGTCCCATATAAGAAATTATAAAATATAATGTTTTACCCAAAATTGTTTTTGTATGGTAGAGTTAAAATATGAAATACCGGAGTTGAGGGTAAGTCGTAGCACTTAAAAATGAAGCTATCTGGCCCTCCCTGGTGGTGCAAGGGGGTTAAAGCACAGCACTAAGAAGCTAAAACCACTTAAGCATGAGTTCAATCCCAGTCCAAGAGGTGACCCACATGGCGCAGCAAACCTCTCCTGATCCTCCTGCTGCTTCCCTCAGCAGTGTACTTTGTTGATCTGCCTGTTCTGCTCCCCACTCTGTCTCTGGTGAACCCTCTCACCACACCTGCACCTTTGGCCTGTACCCCAGTTCCGTATGTATAAATAAAGTATTTTTTTAAAAAATGAAGCTATCTACATCCACTGCAGTACAAGTTGGATTCCTCAGCCAGGGAGGTGATCCATAGGGCACAGAAGACCTCTCCTGTCTTACCCGCTGCTCACCTTCGCAGTGTATTTCAGGAGTTCCACCTGTTGTGGTCCTGAGTCTGTCTCTGGTGAATCTTCTGCACCTCTGGCCTGCATCCCAGCTCTTGTATGCATAAGTAAATAAATCGTAAAACAAAATCACATTTGTTAAATTTGTGTAACTATTCTCGTTGCCAGGCCTAAAATTCTTCACAATAACTTGAAAATATAATGTGAACCTATCATCTTAAATATTGTATATGCCACATTTATATGTGTATACACACATACTTAGGTGTATACATAATGAGATGTTTTGCATTTACTCTAAATTTGAAAGCAGTACTTTAAATTTTAAGGTAACTTCTGTGCAAGTCAACATTCAGTTTGTCAAAAGTATTTGGTGATTAGCCTTCTGCTGTAAATAATGTCTGTATAGAAATTAATTTCAAAGATCAGAAATTCTTAATGTTGAAATTCTGTTTTGAGTATATTATTTCTTCAACATACAGTATAAAAACTTGTTAACCATTATGTCCTTTAATTTAGCATTGTAGAACAAACTTACACCCCAGCTGAATGTGTAAGCCAAGCCATAGACATCAATGAGCCAATAGGCAACTTGAAGAAACTATTAGAACCAAGACTACAGTGTTCTTTGGATGCTCATGAAATTTGCTTGCAAGATATCCAGGTAATTTTGGGGGGAGGGTTTATCTGTGAGCATTTAAGTCTGCCGTAGATACATTTTTTTGTTTATTATTTTATTTCATAGCTTTAGCTTTTATAACTAGATTTGACCTGTTTTATAAAATTTAAGCAGTTTGAAATAAATTCATTCAGGAAAATTTTCTCATTTAAAGTTACATATTGAAGATTGAGTGCTAAGTCAAACATTGATTTCTTTTCATTTCCACAAATGTAAAACAGAAAGTTTAAATAAATTTGAAAGCTTAAACACAATAGTGTAAAGCACTAATTAGCTTTTAACTTCTTTGCGCTTATGCTTCCTCATCTTTAAACAAACTGACCAAATAATTTTCATATTTCCTTCCTTCTTTATCTGTTCCAGTAGTAAATTTGGATAAGAATTTAGATAACAATGCATGTATTTCTTGTAGTCTACTGCAATGGGATTTTACTTGTGACCGTAGTTTAGCAATGTTATATTTGCAGGATATTTATAGTCATGTTTTATGGTATTTTTTTCAAGAAAATTAATATTTTCGAGTGTAAAAGATAAGTAGACCAGATAGGATTACTCAAGTAGTTTTTCTGGACTTTCCTGAAACATATACTAGAGTTTTTAATACTAACTTACACTAGTATATAATTGTATCTTTTGGGTTGCTGGAGTTGTGTTATTCTTTGCCCTCTTCCCAGCACCTTATAATATAGCTCATTCCATTAATTAGAACTTCTACTCTGTTTTTTAAAAATTCAAATTATTGTACATCTGTAATTTTTAAATAAGATTTTGATATCAAAATATTGAAATTGTTTTCATGAAATCTGTGCATTTTAGTTGCCACTCCATACTTTATTTTTTCCTTTCACTAAGCCTAGAAAATGTTGGGGGTGGGAGGATATTGAATATTGCTCATTTAGAGCTAGAGAATGTAAATTATTACCAGTAATACTATAATTTTAAGATTTAAATTTTTTTTTCTTTCAACTGTGAGAAGATGAATTAGCACAATCATTTTGGAAGGTACTCTGGCATTAAATGTCTATCAGCATTGCATGTGAAATACTTAGTAGTTCTACCCAATGAATTGTTCCTATAGAAATCCAACCGTGGTTGCACAGTAGCTCAAAATGTTCCACATTTTAGATAGTCCAAAATTAGATAAATTCCATAGATTGGAATTCAGGCCAACTACTGAAAATTAGTGAGAGAGATGTATTATATTTAATGAAAAATAATTTCAGAAAATTGCTAAATTACCTCATAAAATCTTTACATCAGCCTCTAAATTGGGATGTTATAATCACATCGTGTCAATGTAGACACTGAGATTTAAAGAGCTTAAATAATTTGCCTAGTGTACGCTTAGAGAGAGGTGTGTTCACATGTGTGACTCCGAAACTTCCTTTACTTGATCCAGTGCAGATTTTTAATAACTTGTCACTGGTTTTACTTATTTTTTTTCTCATACAAAGATAAAGGGGAGTCTGGATTTAATTTCTTAACTAACCTTTCAACTCTAGCATTTGTTGCTTCTTTTATAATACCTGACCTAAGCTGGAATGAAAATAGGACTTGCAGGGCCCTCCCTGGTAACACAGCAGGTTAAATTAGCATAGTACTACAAAGCTAAAGCCAAGCACTTCAGCATGAATTCAATTCCCAGCAGGGAGGTGATCCACATGGCATGGCAGACCTCTCCTGTCTTGCCTGCTGCTCCCCTCAGCAGTGTACTTTATCTGCCTGTTCTGCTCCCCACTCTGTCTCTGATGAATACTATCACCACCCCTGAACCTCTGGCCTGAAACCAGTTCTGTATGCACAAATAAATAAATCTTTAAAAAAAAAAGTTCAATAAGTGGAAATAGGCACAGTTAATAGGATCATAGAATTCAGAGCCAGCCTTAGATATTGAACTATTTTGCTTTTCTCCCTGTCGCCCTTTATCTCAAAATAGTATGTAGATAGCAACTACTTTCCTCCTTGTCAGTTAGTGCAGATGTGTATTTAGAGTCAGAGTGCTTGCTGCTTTGGTGATGCTTTTTCAGGTAAATGCTGACTTGAAAGCTAATGGAACAACAGCTGAGTTGCACTTCTTTGAGAAATGTGACCCAGAATCAAATACCATGCTCAAGCTTTGTCCTCATACCAGCTCTTAGTGAGCTAGCTAGTGTATTCAGTACCCAGGCGGTCAGGTAGTCATGTCATAACTTTATTTAAAGTTATTACACCTTTAACTTTATTAACTTGTGATCAGAGATTTAGATTTAATCTGATCTTAAATGTTTGACATTGGTTACCAAAGAAATGGGACAAAAATTTTTTTTTATATATAAATGTTTTAGTACATTTTCCTCACTAATGAAGCCTTACATATTTATGACAGATAAGTTACATTCTCTTCTACTTTAAAAACATTTATAGAATGAACATTTGACTTTTGGCATTATTTAAAATTTTAAACTAGACTGCAGAGAAAACCACTAGTTAAATTCAGTTGTTTATGGTTTCCTTAACTACTACCATATAGGTTAAAATATTTTCAATTTTGGCAAATAATTAAATGATAGGACACAATATTTATAATTTGTCTAATCAATTAAGTCTTGTTTGTACATCCATTTATATTAAGCGAAATGATTGAGCTAAAATAATGTTCATTTTACCCATGTTTAGCTGGATCCAGAGCGAAGTTTATTTGATCAAGGAGTAAAGACAGATGGAACTGTACAGCTTAGTGTACAGGTAATTTCTTACCAAGGTAAGTTACTTTTAGTGTAGTTATTTAAAAGTTTTTCTAATATGGGAACTTAATTTTGTAAGTTTTTAGTGATATAGATGTCTGAATTATTTACTGTGATGTTATAATCAGATAGCCATGCTTTTGGTTTAATTATTGTATCTGCCAAGGTGAAGCAGGTAGTGGAACACATCCTTTTGAGTTTAAACAATAGGGCATATATTTATTATATAGTGGTAGACATTACAGTAAGTAATAAGATCACCAAGAAGGCTAGAAGAACAGTATCTAGTTGGCTTTTTCAGAATGTCACAGCCATACTGCAAAACTAGATTGACAAGGAGGCTGCTACTTTGCAGGGACCTGGACAAGGCCAAATCTGAGACACTGACTGCTACAGCTTCTGCTTCTACTGCACTGCGCAGTGATCCACACTAGATGCAAAATGGATGCCGGGAGCCCTTTGTCCCTTCCTAATGCATTTTGAAATAGAGGCTCATATCAAATAATTTAGAGCCTGAATCACATCTAAAACCCTAGCTATGTGGATTCTAGCTGTGTTAGTTTAACACACAGAGGGGCATTTGCAAAGGATGTTGAGTGACCCAGGCAGTGTCTAAATCACAGTATTTTACTAATACTGTACGTATACCAAAAAAAAAAAAAAAATTAGGAAAGAGTTTTTTTGTTGGTTGAATTTTAGTTTCTTAAAATGTGGCTGGTTGGGATTTCTAACTAGCATTTTAGACTCGTTTTAGTCTGTCAGCCTATGTTGCTTAACCTCTCCATTGCAAGTCTGTTTAAGAAGAATAGACTTGATGAATTCAAATGGAATGTTAAGGATTAAATTTTAGGAAAACGTTTTTTTAAACTGATTATTTTACTCATGTGCAGTTGACCTTTGAACAAGGCAGGTGTTAGAAGCGCTGACTCTGCTTTCACCTTTGACTTCTTCACTTGGCTTAATCCATGAACAGTGCCCAAAGCTAGAAACTAAATCCAAGTATAGTTGGAGCCAAACCCACTTAAAGGTCAAGTGTATATTTAAAAAAATGAATAACAGTACATTTGTTTGTAATACTAGTTTTCATGGGAGTTAGAAGTATCTGAAGTTTCTCAAAGGGTTAGTTTATTCTATGCTGAGTGTCTTAAGGAATTGGGTTTTCCTTCACTTGAAAGTAAGAATTTATTGGTGTGAATTTAACAAACTCACTGTCTTCATTTTTAAGACATGTACTTAGTTTTTTAAAAAGGAGAAAGCAGACAGTAATTTTAATTTGCTTAGAAGGTCTTTGTAAAATTTTGATGCTGGGTAGCTAATTATGCACTTCCTAGCCTAACTTTTATTTTCTGTTCCACGTTGGTACTATTCTTTCCAGTGATTATAGTTAGGTGTGTGTTAAGAAGAGGGCTAGTTTTTAAGTTAGACTTAGAGAAAAGTCTACTACTTACTTGCAAGAGTAGAAAATATTCCTAGATATTCTTCATTCATATGGTCCAGATGTTGACCTTCCTTTTATTTGCTTTATTTTCCGTCCTCTGCTCCCAATTTTTTTGTATTAGTAAAGAATAAATTGGAAAGGATGTTTTAACCCTAAATAGTCAGCATATGTTTTCTAACAAGAAGTTCTTTTACATGACCACAGCATAGTCATCTAAATCAGGAACTTAATAGTGACACAATACTGTTAACTTTTGCACCAAAGTTCTGTTGAACTATTCTATTTAGATTTAGTGTTCATTCTTTACACATATTAATAAAAGTATTTAAAATGGGGTTTGTTCTGTCATTTGAGAACATAAAAGCTAGGTAAAATTTTATCTTTTAGTTATTTTCATTTATGTTTACTACTGTTTTTTAACTCACTGTTAAGGAATTGAGCCAAAGCTAAACATCCTTGAAATTGTTAAACCTGCGGAAACAGTTGAAGTAGTTATTGATCCAGATGCCCACCATGCTGAAGCAGAAGCACATCTTGTTGAGGAAGCTCAAGTGATTACTCTTGATGGCACAAAACACATTACAACCATTTCAGATGAAACCTCAGAACAAGTGACAAGATGGGCTGCCGCCCTAGAAGGTTACAGGAAAGAGCAAGAACGCCTTGGGATACCCTACGGTAGTGAAATACATAATTATATGTTCTATGTAATTGCGTGTTAGGTGGAATACTAAGAATTAGATTTGACATAGAGAACATTAGGATAAATACGCTAGTTTCTTTTATATGGAGAATTTTTAGGAAGCACATTGATTTTTCTTTATCTTGTGAGGTAGGGGACTGTAATGCACACGGTAGATGAATGGTGTCATGGATCTAGGGATACCAAAAAATTAAAATTACTGTCCTTGGAATATTTATAGTATAGCAAGGGGGAAAGATAGAGGAAAGAGATAAATTGTCATAAAAGGTACATATTTGTACAGTGCCAGTAGCTTGTATTAAGGAAACCTGCTATTAGATCTCAGAGATCATAATGGCCTTAGGGGAAACTGGGAAAGGGCTTGCTATAGGCAAGCAATTAGACAGAGAGAGATTCCAGCCAGAAAATAATGAAGGCAAAGCTGAGAGTAGGAGGAATGAATGTGACTAGTAAGATTTAGTGGGTAAGGACTTTTTCTCTAGCATTCTAAAATGACTTTTCATTATAGAAATGGCAATGGAAAATAAATGTGGTATATGGTATAAGTTAGAGTAAGCAGAGACTAAATGAACGGTAAACAAGATCTTATTATCATAGGTTAGGTATAATTTGGTGACAGTATCTAGTTTTACCCTAGTCAGGGTGATTTCTGTGGAAATTAAAGAATGAAAACAGGGTCTAGAGCAAGCAACTAATGAAGGGGATTTGTTTAGTTAGAGAGGAGATTCAGGTGTTGATCTGACTTCTCTAGGGCAGTAATAATAGTAATAAGAATTGACTATAGCATGAACTGCATATGCCAAGTACCATGGTATCTGTGGTGTGAAAGACAGCTCATAACTTCTAAAACAGTGAGAAAAGTAGGGGCTCCTGGTATTGGAAGGATTTTTCAAGGAAAAGTGTTATGAGTACTTGATTTTGGATTATTAGTACACATTCAACTAGAGGTAGCCAAGAAATAGTTTCAGGTACCCAAGATTTGGACTGGTGATATTACCTGGTCCTCAAATTGATTTGCATTAAAACCAGAAAAGTCTGGGCCCTCCCTGGTGGCACAGCGGGTTAAAGCACAGCACTGAGAAGCTAAAGCCACTTCTGCGTGAGTTCAATCCCCGCCTGCCCTGGAGGTGACTACATGGCGCGGCAGACCTCTCCTGGCCTGCCCGCTGCTCCCCTCAGCAGTGTACTTTGTCCATCTGCCTGTTCTGCTCCCCACTCTGTCTCTGGTGAACCCTCTCATCCTCCACATCTCTGGCCTGTACCTCAGTTCTGTATGAATAAATAAATCTTAAAAAAAAAAAAGAAAAGAAAAGTCTATGTAGTCTCTGTTAGAGATAAAATGGAAAAGAATGCAGCATAAAAGACTAGTTCCTGGGCCTTGTAAACATTTGGGGTGAAGAAAAGAAAGAGAACATGGAATAGTTGAAGAGAAGTAGGAACAGTGTATATTATCACTGAAATTGAGAGTCCCAGTGCTGAGAAAGTAAAAAAAAATGGCAACTGAATTAATAGCTATTAAATGTGGCTATCAGAGACACATTTAGATAAAAGTAGCTATAGCATCGAAGAGATCGCTGAATTACAAGAAATGAGTAGATCTTACAGAAATGGGGAAAACTAAATGGTAACTTTGGTGTGGGGCAAGTGGGAAGAGTGTTGAGACAATAAAGAAATGATATTGAAGGATTAAGGGTTGGTGGTTTATTTGTTGATAAAATAGTGTGACTATGGTAGAAGGGGTGGACTAAAGAAGTAAAACAGAGTGGTGGTTAATTGGATCATAGCAAGGTAGGAGCCCACTGGGAAGGAGAACATGCAGCGGTTCCTTGGGATGGTTCAGAACATCTGTTGATTTACTTTTGACACATGGAAGCTAGTGTGAGCAATGTGCTTGACATTAGTAAGTTGGGAGGCATCTCATGAGGGGAAATGTTTAGGACAGAAAAAACATTAAAACATAGGAATATTACAGACTCTGTATGATTATGTGGGTTGTAAGTTAACTGTAAATTACTTAATGTCTAAGATGGAATTAGACTAATGGTAATTTTTATTATTTTTTTTTTTTTTTAAAGATCCTATACAGTGGTCCACAGACCAGGTCCTGCACTGGGTGGTTTGGGTAATGAAGGAATTCAGCATGACTGATATAGACCTCACCACCCTCAATATTTCAGGAAGAGAATTATGTAGTCTCAACCAAGAAGATTTTTTCCAGCGAGTGCCTCGAGGAGAAATCCTTTGGAGTCATCTGGAGCTTCTTCGAAAATGTATAAAATTGAAGTTATTATCTACTTGCATATTACTCTCTTAATTTTATTTCTTTATAAGTTTATTTTCATCTTGATTACTCATTTGTAACAGCAGCAATACTACTTAACTCTAAAAGGCTATGCTGGAAGCTTATATGTATTATATCATTTACTACTTTGTACTAATACCACAAGTCAGTACTTTCCTTAATTTTAGCTGGGAAGCTGAGACTTAGAGAGTCCCACAGGGTCACAGAGCAGGATCTAAATCCTGATTAATAAATTCCAGAATCTGAGTTCTTAAGTGAGAAGCTACACTTAGCTCTCTTCATATATTCTAGTCATTGACTTCTGTTTTATCACTTAGTTCATCCATTTATTCCTCATCTTAAATTTAAGACTTCACAGATGGTTTCCCTCTCATTTTCATTGTGAGAGTGTTAAACTTGTTGACCTTCTGTAATTGAATGATGCCTAAGAGTGAAAGGTGAAGTACAAGTATGCAGCCCACCATCTTGAATTGGAAGCCACTGGTTCCCAGTTTTCCATGCTATTACAAGGCTATTATTACTACTGACGATGCAGAAGTTAGAAAGGGCTGGCTGTCTAAAAATTCTAATGTAAATTATGATGTATGAATTTTAATCCACCTTGTATTTCACTAACTAAAAGTATTTTAATGGTCACTCATTTCCTAACATTGATTTTTAGATCCAAAAAGCTAGCTAGCCAGACCTACCTATTTCTTAGAATATGTGAACAGGACAAACTCTGTTTTTGTAATGGTTATGGATGAGAATGTAACTGATAGTACTTCATCTGTGTGCTCAGTGAAGGGACAGCTTGATGGAGAGATTTTCCAGACATTTATAAATACTTAGGATTTTCTTCCAGGGAACATTCTCTGCTGTTGGATAAGAAATGTGTGTTGGAGAGAGCGTTCCTTCATGACTTATATCTAGTTTCTTTCCTGTATTAATTATCTTAAATTTCAGGGAGGGGTGAAGTTATCTATGACACTGGAGGACACTAAAGTCATTACTCTCATTACTTTCACAGGATTTGTTTCCAGTTTCAGGTCATAGATAAAATGAGTTAAATGTTCTGGGTAAAGGTTTGTCCTTGGCTTCACAGGTTTCTTCTCTGTAGAGCTTTTCAGATGAATAAGGTAAATTCTGAATTGTTTCAGGTTTTTAACATGTGAGTCAATTTTACTGAAACATTTTCTTAATAGAATAGAACAAGGACAGTGCAGTTTGTTTTCCCCAGTTCATGGTTATGACTGTCTCACAGGTCAATACTTGTGTTATAGTTATCTTTCTGGCTTTCTTAGTGCTTTCTTACACTTTAAAGCTCATCCAGAGACTTTTCCTGGTGCTGAGGGCAGATGAGTCTTGTGTGTCTTTCCATGCCCATTGGTAGATTGGACCTTCTTCAGAAAAGCTCTGCTCTGAAATTGTTTTATTCTCAAAAGAAACAGCCCCACAGCCTAGAGAAATAGCTCCAGGAATTCCCTGCCTACCCAGCCCTGGTTCTTTTGCTCTGCTTTTGCAAGGGAATCCCATCTGGTTTGGAAATTGAAGGTTTAGTTCAGAACTTGGGAATGAATGAGGTATAGGCTATTTCTAGCAGACTTTCTTTAATTCATAAGCCTCTCTTGTCAGAACAGGTTCTTTGAAACATAGTCTATTCTCTGGCCCCTCCTGTATAGTGACATCTCCAGTTCATTTGAAAGGCACTCAGTAGCGTCTGTAGTCCCTTCCTCCTCAGTGATCTTCACAGAGCACGGCTAAACAGGTGAACTTCAGATATTTGAGTTAGATTATCCACTAGAGTTCTCCTATAATCCCCTTGTGTGGAAATTTCATCCAAATTCTGCACATGGGAAAGGTTATTAGGAAATGTTCCAGTACTTCCAGCTCTGCTGTGCTTCTTGGTGTGAATATCTGACTTTCAAAGTCAAAACTGACAAAGTTCTCCATTCGCTAAGGACATTTTTAGGGAAAAGAGTCGCCTCATACATGTAGTAACTAGAGTTTCTTCATAAAATGGCTCCAGTATCCCTCAGAGCTTTGCTCTTAGGATTTTGCTTCCTTTTGCATGGCCGGGAGTTGAAAGCTCCAGAAGAGTAGCACAGCTGCCTGTGTGGTCTTAAACCAGCCTTCGAAATCTCCGTGTCTGTGTTGCCTCCTGTCTTGACTTCCCAGGAAAGAGACCAAACTTCATTCAGGAAAGAAGAGCTTAGAAACTGATCTTTCAGTGTTTGGTCAGGCCTGTGCTGTGCTGTGTGGTGGGAAAACTCTTGCCTCTTTTTTGGATAGGGCATTTGCTTTCATTTACAGTCATAAATGGAAACATTTCAGTTTATCTCTTTGCCTCTTCAAAGCACTTAGAATTTTTTGGACAAATCTACCATAGCGTTAAGGCATGGGTTTTGAGAGTGTCTTGGGGGAGAATTTTCAAAACTAGGTTCTGGTATTTAATGAAAAGTTAACTATTTTCAGACACTGGGCTTCTTCAAAGCATTTTCCTTTTATCGTCACAACAACTACTTGTGATGGTAGGTGACAATACCTCATTTAAATATGAAGAAACTAATGTTCAGAATAACTTACCAAAGTCACACCAGTGAGTGAATGCTAAGATCAGAACCCAGGTCTATCCAAAGCTTATCCCATGTGTTTAAACGCCTCCTTTCCCAACTCAGGCTCCAAGAGAAACCTATCTGACAGGTAGGATTTGGAGCTATTTTTAAGTTCCCAGTCCTTTTCCATTCCACATGCCTGACACTGGATGCTGGTCAGGCACATTAAGAAGAACCGCGTTGAGCACCCAGGCCCCAAGACTGGTTTGATTGCTGGGGGGAGGGTTGCAACTCAGGAGAGAAGCATTCAGACCAGTGGGCACTAAATATCAATACTGGGAAGAGTAACTCCTATTTGAGAGGTGCAGAATAGGTCGAGGAGGAATAGCAACAGATGAGTAATGAGTAGTTCTTTAAAGGGCTCTATGAGGACCCTCTAAGTTATTTTGTTAGTTTGTGACATTTAGGATGGCTATTACTAAGGAACATATTTATAAATTAAAGCAGTTTTATTCAGATGAATATTGAACAGATTTAAAGCTCTTTTAAATACTCTTGAGAGGGAGCCTTTACAGTAGTATGCTTATTTTGATCTGATCGAGATTTCCGTTTTACATGGTTTTATATATACTAAATATAAGTACTTATATTTAGAAAACCATGGTCCTCTCAGTAACTTTATTGAACATGTAAAAAATGGGAGCTTTTCCTTGATACGTTTTTTTCCTTATAAAGTAAGTTATGTATGTTATCATGACAATATGTTTCAGTTGTTTAATGTTCAGCTGTTTGGTTTTGGTTTTAATTGTGGAGTTCCTATTTATTTTTTTTCTGTAGAATTCCTTTTTAAACGATTATAGTTACTGGACTTACTGACTTGTTGGATTGGGGTTTGCAGTTTGGGTTTTAAATATTAACAGATTTTTATGTGTGTTCTTCAGATGTATTGGCAAGCCAAGAACAACAGATGAATGAGATCGTTACAATTGATCAGCGTGAGTATTCATACTCATAATCTGGCCCATTTAGCTAGGAAATCTTTTCTGTACTGCCAGGTAATAGAAAGGAAAGCCAAGTTTTAATTGAGTCTTTAGATATACAAGTAAAGGTTAACTAGTATCTGTGTATACTGTAAGAAAGAAAATTTTATGTATCAAGTTTACCTGTTGTAGATCCCATTTTAAATACCGATTAATGTTTATCATTCTAGCATATTTGATATTTTTACCAACACTTTACAGCATAGTTTTGCACATATTTACACTATTTGGTAGAATAATACACTGCATATCCTTCCTTAGCCTTTGTTTACAGTTAACATGAGATTCATATTCATACTTGCAGTGCCATTGTTTTATTTCACTGCTGTGTGTTATTTTTTAAACCTTTGTGAATATCATTGAATGAGTAAAGAATGTGTGAGATTCTCTGTGTGAGTGTCATAGGGTTTTAACTCTTTTACCTATACTAGGAAATACCAGTTTTTCTCAACTTGGTGATATGAGGTTGTACTTTCATCAGTAGCGGAACTTCTCATTATTTCTTTGGTATTTGTGCTGCTAAGTTAATTCAAAGTAAGGAGACCAATTTTTACCCACTTAAGAATCACAAACTATATTGCAATATATTGTACTTATCCTCTGACCTTTTTTGTGATTTTGTTTAAGACTTGTGGATTAAGGCACAAGTGAGATCTTATGTTGAAGTAATTAGAGGGACATTAGTTAAACTACTTGCATTTTATGTCAGTAACTTTTTTGCACTGGTGATATTGGAAGGACAAAACCTGTCCCTCTCTTTACAGCTGTGCAAATTATTCCAGCGTCAGTACAGTCTGCTACACCAACTACCATGAAACTTATAAACAGTAGTGCGAAGGCAGCTAAAGTGCAAAGAGCGCCAAGGATTTCAGGAGAAGATAGAAGCTCACCTGGGAACAGAACAGGTATAAAGAAACATCTAGTATTTGTAAGATTTTTCAAATGATATTTTGTTTAATTTCACTGTACGAAAATGCAACTTCAGACTGTTTCTCTAGGAATGCTTGGACATTTGTAAAAAAAATAGTATATCTCTAGCATGTCCAGAATATGAGAGAGGAGAGATCCTTGTTCGTTTTTTCTCCCCCCTCTCTTAATTCATAACAATGTAGTCATGCTTGTCTTTCTTGTCAATGCAGGAAACAATGGCCAAATCCAACTGTGGCAATTTTTGTTAGAGCTGCTTACTGACAAGGATGCTCGAGACTGTATTTCTTGGGTTGGTGATGAAGGCGAGTTTAAGTTAAACCAGCCAGAACTGGTTGCACAAAAATGGGGACAACGTAAAAATAAACCTACAATGAACTATGAGAAACTCAGTCGTGCATTAAGGTAAGGAGGTTATTTTTTTAAATGCCAGTGTAAAAAATGACTTCTTACTGTAGTATAAGTATTGTTATATAATGATGTAAATACATGGCTTTTCATGAGATGTCTTATGTTTTTTAAAAAGCTAAAAATTTCACACTTGTTAAAAAATGATTTTTTAAAAAGATCTTTGGTAATTTTGAGGCATATAGTTTTCTTACCTGATTTTAAAACATTCACAACTGTTAAAAACCAACATGGTCAATCTTTGAGGATACTTTTTAATAATAGGTTAAAGATATCCTCACTTGCATAGGAGAATTGAGCATAAATTCTAGCAAACATACAGATCTTGTCTATTTTTTGTCATTAGATGGAAAAATTGACCAATTTCTGTTTTTTCCCTCTGCACTCTGCTTGAATCTGAATATCCAATTTGGATACTGATTAAGTGAAAATAGAATAAAATTATTTGTGATTTCCCATATGTAGTATGAAATTTTGTCATGATCACTGTTAGAAATTATGCTTACTACAGTGATGGAAATTCATTATTTGCATTTAAATATCTGAGAATTAATGGGATATAGGAGTAGTCAAGGAGCTATGTGGTTTTTTGACAGTAGATGTAGTATGGTTCTGCAGTTTGCCACTATTTGTGAGAAATATGCTACTCATGCTTGTTCATGTTTTACGTGGACATTGTCTGTGAATTGTCAGATTATGATTTACCTCTTGTCACTGTCCACACACACATTTTCTGTCCTCTCACCCCAATGCAGTTATATAAATACACAGACATTATGGTTAGATCAGTACTCACTGGTACAGGATGACGGCCAGGGAAGTAACTGCTTTGGAGTTTGCCAGGACTGGTTTTCTTTCAGAATGCCCACTGCGTTTCCCTTGCATTCATAAGTAATCATCAAAATGCTTTCTTTTTGACGTGTTTATTAATCAGTTTCAAACACTTTCCCAAATAAGGAAACTTCCATGTAATCAAAATGAAAACATTCATTTTTGATAGTTAAATTAATAACTAAGATGTCTGTTCTCACCAGGTGGATAAATTTCACTGTGGGAAATTTCTGAACAATTTTTTTTTTTCATAGAAATTGATGAGATAAACTGTAGAATTTATATGGGAACATAATGTATAGTGATAACCAAGATACCTGAAGAAGGCAACACAGTGTAAAGACTTGCTGTACAGGATTTGAGACTCACGATAAATCAGTTTACTTAGGGTAGACAAGTAGACATAGACTAGACTAGATAGCCCAGATAGAACTGAAAATACAGGTGTATTTGAAGCCAAGACGGCAGTGGTGAGAAGACACATGGGGGAGAGAACTGCTTTTCAGTGAGGGCTGCTAGGACAGTGACTGTGCCCCTTCCTTATCCCACACCAAAAGTCAGTCCCATGTAGCTAGTAGCTCAAAATGTGAAAAATAAGAGTCTAAAACTATCTCCATGATTAGGTAAGGAAAGATTAAACAGAACCACAAGCACTGACTGTTATGGAAAGATTGGTAAATTGGGCTACATTTAAATGAAAATATTCCGGTCATCACAAGTTTTCATCAAGAGAAGAAGGCAAGCCACATACACCAAACTCGTACACTCACATCTTGAATAGCTAAAGAAATTCACAGTAGGGGGACTAGAGAAATGGGCAAAGAAACAAGAGACACTTTAAGCTACTGATTAGTCAAATGACCAGTGAACAGTATGCCAGGGAGTATTATTCAGGGAAATGCAATGTAAAACCATGACAAATGACCCAACACACACCCTAGTATTGCCAAAATTAAACTGACTGAAGATAACAGGTGTTGGTTAGGCTATGGAGTAGCAAGATGCTTCTATAACTATAGGAATATAAATTGTAACTTGTAACCCAGCTGTTTTTCCTCTAAGTATTTACCAAAGATGTTTGCATATGTCCACACAAATTCATAGCAGCATTATTTATAACACCCCCAAAAGAGAAATCAGCCAAACATATGAATAAAAGAGTACATAAATAAATTGTAGTAAACAAGAGGCTATTTGCCATAAAAATGAAATTACAAGCATAGATATAGATGCATATCATATAAATAATGTTCAGTGAAAGAATCCAGACCCAGAATCAGGAAAACAAGGGATGCATGTTGGGTGACAATATACAAATAAAGGCAGTGAAATTGCTGCCATGAACAGGATTGTTTAATGTTGGAATGAGGGCGGGATGCTGAGTGGAGGGCTGCAGGGGGACTCTGGAGCGTTGGCAGTGTTCTGTTCCTCAACCGAGGTACAGTTCACATGTCTTTTCATCACTGAGCTGTTTACTTTTGTGTCCTTTCTGTTTGTGCAATGTTTCACAATTTAAAAGGTTTTTTAAAAAACACATTTCCCCTCAAAAAGGGGGAAAAAATCATATCCCTGAAAATGCAGCTGTTTTGTACTTTTCTGCTTCATTTCATAGAGAGAATGAATACTGTGAACATTATGTTTGGTTGGTTGTGCGTCTGCTAAAGAAAATAGTGAAATTGCAACTTGCATGTTGTTTATCACCTCTCCCTAAGATTCTATCAATCCCATATTCTCTGTAGAAATATGAAACTTTTCTTCATGTGTTCCTTTTTCTCTACCTCTGCTTGTTACTTCCTTCATATTCTGTAGAAATTGTCTAAAGAAATTGATGCTGGTAAGTATTTCAAACTGTTTTCAAACAACTGTGGTCTGTGGGCTCAAATGGCAATTCTGTATTAATGTAGTTGGTACAAAAGGAAACCACAAGACTGTCCAATTTGTTATATTGTGAATTACTTACTAGGAAATGAACACACCTATTAAATACTTTTGCTATTCGGAAATTAAGGAAAGATGACATAATTTGCTGCATATATTCAGTCTTTCTTAATAGATTCAATTAAACTGAGTGACTCTTAGACATTAAAATCATGCTAAATTTAATAGTTTATACCAATGATACTTTTGCAAATAGTCATTTCTTTTGCTACTGTTCTTTGTCAAATGCAAATGTGTGGTACAATTTTAAAACAATGCAAGCCCAGGAAGGTCTGGATTTGCCTTTTTTCCTATTAGAATGTTCATATGAGTACAGGGCTCTGTAGTAAATCCAAACCCATCTGGGAAAAACAGCAGCAGTGAAGTTACCCAAACACACCTGTGTAGGTTTAGCAACATTGTGACTTCATGATACCAAGTTTCCTGTTTTTCTGTGTCCTTCTAGCTTTTTTATCTACACTTTTGAGGCTCCTGTATTAGGTTTGGAGAATTTACTCTAAAAGGAAAGACTTTGCATATAAAAATGGTAAAGGTGAAGATATGGCTACATAATATAAGATTTTATATAAAACAAGATAATGCATATGAAATTTCTTCAAGTTACATGGGTTAACAGAACACATATGTTGTAGCAGGCTCTCCAGTCATTCTGTGTCTAGTAATTTTCAGATCATTCTTTTAGTCTTCAGTTCTATGAGGAAGAGGACTGTTTTTAACCTCATTTTACAGGTGAGAGGAGTAAAAGCTTAGTGAACTTACTTAGGATGGCAAAGGTAGTTAAGTGGAGGTTCTGGATTCTGAGTCTGGGCATTCTGCCTCTAAGATCTTGCTCTTAGGTTCCCTTACTGCTCCACAGGTTTTTTCTCTGTTTAATGTTTACTTTAAAATCAGTGACTCATCATAGCTGTTGAAAAGAGGCATTGAAAATTTACATAAAGTTTTGGTCTATTGAGCATCGAAATTCTAGTAAAAAAATTTAAGAATTTTTGTCTTGTACAGTAATATTTAAAATTTCTATATAACTTCACCATGAAGAACTGTTGTGGTCCATGCATTACTCTCTGAGGTCCTTGTTGCAGTAGTCTGAAATACGCAAGAAGTTCAGGTGGCTTTTTTGTATAGTTCTAATGTGTTTTTCTCTTTTAAAAGGTATTATTATGATGGGGACATGATTTGTAAAGTTCAAGGCAAGAGGTTTGTGTACAAATTTGTCTGTGACTTGAAGACTCTTATTGGATATAGTGCAGCAGAGTTGAACCGTTTGGTTACAGAATGTGAACAAAAGAAATTGGCAAAGATGCAGCTTCATGGAATCGCCCAGCCAGTCACAGCAGTAGCCCTGGCCACTGCGTCTCTGCAAACAGAAAAGGATAACTGAGCCCAGGACCTTCTGGGAGTCCAAGGTCTTTCTTAAATATTAGAGCAAGTGTTGCTCACACTTTATTACTGAATTTGGATTTTCTTTTATTTCTAGACTGTACAATCTGATGCATGATTTTTTTTATAAATATTTCATACTCTTGTGAATTTGGATCTTTTTACTTTGAGCATATATTTTAGAATATGTGTATGTTAAAGGATCACCACAATGTCTTCAGCGTGAAGGGCAGAGTCATTGTGGGATAGTTTGTTAACAGTCAGGAAAGCTAAACTGGTCAGTATTAATGTCTAGCCCTACCAAAAATAGCCAGTAGCATCTGAGGATAAAAAATTAAGTATCTCCAGGAAACAGTCTGGCTTAACTATTTTTGAAAATATATTTTTCCTCTCTGCTGCTTTAGATGTTACTTTACATAGAAGCAGAAAATGCAGTTTTTCACAGCTAAAGCATGTGTGCCTGTTTCATCTAATCAAGCAGAGTTAAAATATTCAAAAAGTATAATATTAATAAATTACTAAACTAAGAGTTATCAAGTTATTAATTTATATATTTGCAAGCAGAGGATAGTAAGTTGACTCGCAGAAGAACAGTGCTGAAGAAGGAGATCCAGGTTTAAATTTGGCTTAACTTAAGCTAATTTTAAGGATTTTCTGTATAGTTTATTCATAATGTCAGGCCAAGAATTTAAATTATTTCAAGAGGCATTTAATTCTAATAAACCAACTATTACAAAAATTCTTAAACGATCTCTGTTTTTCCTGTCAGAGATTTAAAAAACAAAAAAGGTATACCTCAGCCAGAAAATAAAAGTTTAGTTTGGTTTGATATGGCTTCTTTAAAAAAAAAAAAAAAAAAATTATAGTGCTGGTTTATCATGCAAAAGCAGCTAATTTTTTTGATGTGAAGACTTTAAATCATCAGCAGTATCTTACCTTTCAAAGACATTAGTAAGTTACTTGCAAGTAGTTTTAAAAGGAAAATTTGACCTCCAGTTTAGGTAGCCTTCTCTTTAAGGAAAATTCCACTTAATTTTTCCCTTTTGAATATTATATGTGAACTTACAATTATCTGCATACATGTCAAAATCACCTCGTGTGTGTGTATGTGTAGACATATACGAACATGTACACACATACATAGGAAAATGGTGATGTTCAAAAGGAAAGATACTTCAAAAGATGTAAGGCTATTTCTAAAATTCCATAAGAAGTTGATTAATTCCTCTGTATTTGAAACTACTTACCACAGCTAACACTAAACAGAAATGGCTAGAAATGTCTTTCTTGCTCACTTGCTGGCTTCCTTTGCTTTTTATTTTCTTTTTGTGGTCTGTTTTAAGGTGTTATGTGCAAATCATGAGATACTGGCGAGTTTTAATCCTGTTATAGCAGATGATTAATTCTCAAATAATACTTTATGCACCCTCTCCCTCATTACCTCTAACTTCATTCCTCAAAATAGCTTTATCAGAGCTCAGTGAATGCTTCTGACTAACAGGGAGGAAAGGGCCATGTTAATCCACATACAGCAGGGTGGTGGCAGCAGTTGCTGCTGCCAGTACTGAAGAGTGGCTTGGAGGGAACCAGAGGAAGCAGGAACTTAGGGACAGAGGGGAGGGGAGCTTTGTGCTGTCTCTCCTGGTAACCTCAAATCATAATTTTAAGTGCTGTGGTATCGGATGACTATATGTAAAGTCTGTTCCATTTATAACATTGTATTAAGTCCTTTAAGACCCTGCAGTAGATAATCTAAAAAAAAATGAAGTTTGTAACTTCCATTTTTACCTTTTTATAAATACAGACTACATTGGCACATTATTAGTATAATTTGGTGTTGTAATTGCAGGAACATCTAAGTAGAATAGTTATATAAAATAATATATAGGAGCTCTAGTTTCAGATAAGTTAAAAGTTTTACATCATCTTATGGCCTGGGAAGGTTGATAAGCTGCTTATAATTTTTAAAAAATAAAGTATACTCTTCTGGTATAATATCAAGAGCTTAAAAATCTTTACTTTTAGATTTAAAATGCTTTGGGGGAGACGTTATATTCAAATGTTAGCCAGAATGTTTCACATATACATATATATGTACGTATATATGTCTATTTTAGGCAGAAAACACCCATAATTTTTAGATTCCTAAAATTAAACCATTATTTTTCTCCTTTAAGCATTCCTTTGATTCCATGGGGGGGGGGATACATTTTCTATCCTTTATTTTCTTTTATTCCTCATTATAATTTAAACAGACAGTTCTCATATATGATCTGGTGCTGTTTCTTTTTATTCTCTTATCTTATTCACCGTAACATAGATAAAGTAATGAGACTAATTTCCCCAGTTGATGCAAGAACTCCCATTACTTTCTCTCAAAGTCATTACAACTATCAGAAATTCAGGTAGTCTTATTGAAGGATACATTGTGTCATAAAGAAAATAGAATTCATGCAGTTCATTCTTTGCTGTGTTTTTATGAATGAATTTGCTAGAGAATTTATGATCTGCCTTCAGAGGAAGACAGATTATAATTATTTTTGTACCTTAAAAGTACAAGAATAATTAAATTTTCCACTTTTGTTTTAAAACATGTTCTATTGGAGGTTCTTCTGAGCTAACTTCAATACTTATCTTGCTAGCCTGATTTGGGAAATTTGTGTTAGCCTCGGGTAAGACAAGTGAGGCAGAATTGTGTGTGGTTTGCCTTCACAGAAGCTAAATCATCACATTGTTTTTGCAATCCATGTTAAACAATTAGGAAAAATTGTTTTGTTTTCTCCCCTGATTAATGGTGAGACCTAAGTGTGGTTCTGCTTCCTGAAGTACCTCCACACGCTGCTGGTGGGTCTGCTGGTTTCCACATCATCACCATATGCTACTGCTATTTAAGAAGAACTTTTAGTGTACCTTTGAAGTAGCACAAAAAGGGTTTAAAATTCGTAATTGCAAAACAACCTGCAACTAAACGTCTTCAGATCTAGAGGGTGTAAAAATATTGATATTTTGGTGATATTTCACTTGCTGCCAGAAAAAAAAAAAATACTCTCAATCTTTTGTAAAAGGGAGGAGGGTTTTTTGCATACATTTTTACTCTTTAAATAAAGACACCTATAATGTCATAATAACAATTATGTATTTCTTTGTGGTTTTTATTTTTTTTGTAATTTTGCATAAGACAGTTATTTTCTATTTTTACTCAGATAAAAGATATTTGTGCATAAAATGTAAAAATAGTAAAATGAGAAAAATAAAACTATTATACAGTATATTTCCGTGTTAGAAGTTTTTCTCCTGCATATAAATAGTCTCATATCCCTGGAATATTTGGATGGCTATCAGAGTCTACATCTGTATATATTGTTCATGTGATTACCATCTCGTAATAGTTACCAGTTTGGCGAGAACAGACTCCATTGAACTGAAGGAGGTATGTTCGTTTTGTGTTTGAGAAAATGAAATTCCATCCACATAGCTGAACTTTTAAAATAATAGTAACAGGGGCCTCCCTGATGACCTACGGGGCTAAGGCTCAACGCTACCACCACATGGCTAAGTTTGATCCCTAAGCAGGGAACTGACCCACATGGAGCAGAAGCCCTCTCCTGTCTTGCCCATTGCAGTACATTTCAGTGGATCCACCTATTCGGCTCCCCATTCTGTGTTTCTGGTGAATCCTCTCCCATCACCCACCACCATCTCAGGCCTACAACCCAGTTCTTCTATGCACGAATAAATAAATGTTGAAAATAATGGTTAACAGAAGTGGTAAAACTGAATACTTGTCAAAATGCAAACCGATTGTTAAACTAGAAATTCTTAGTAATGCCTTTTTGTTTTTATTGAAAAAAAATTTCCTGCCTATTGTTGGCTGAATTAACAGCAGGATTTTCATCAAGGACCAGATACGGAGGAATCAGAGAGGGCTGGGAGGATATGATTGTTATCTTGTTCATGATCAAGTAATCAAACTTGACATGCTTAAATAATGATTGGGTGAAAAATAGCGTTACAAGCACATAATCTAATTTTATGTACTCTAAATTACCAGGAATCTCGAGATGTTCTCCCAACAAATTCACTAGAGGAATTTTAAAAACTAGTGTGCTTCATTGACTTACAGAATACAGGGGAATAAACAATCATCTCAATGGATGCAGAAAAAGTACAATAACATTTAACATCCTTTTATGATTTAAAAAAAAACTATCTAGAATTAGTTTCACTATTATAAAACAAAAACAGTTTTCTCATAGCAGTCCCTAATTTTTTATCAACTGTTTCCCCTAAATATTAATTAAATTCTATTTTAGTCAATCCTATACCTGTTTGTTGGGACCGGACTCAACAAGCTGTAGGGGATCAGGGTAGGGTCTTTATGTGGGATCGGTTGGTTGGCTGGCTAGCTGGCTGGCTGTGGAGATTCCAAAAAGGGGGAAAGGAAGGGGAGTGAGGAAGACATGGGAGTTGGAGTTGGGTGCAAGTCTTCCTGCTCATTTTCTCAGCAGGTCTTTATTTATATTGTGTAGCAAGTAAATTACAATAATGCATAAGGTGGTAAGTTAATGAGACATTAACCATAAATTATAAAGTTTCTCATGGAAGAGGGAAACAATCCATCTCCTTCCTGAGGCTTGTTGGTATACTGAATTACACACTTTTGTAATAACTGTGGCAGATGTTTAACTATAACTCAAAGGGGTATGGGAAAGAATGAGCTGTTAGCAAAGGGTTTAGGGGTCTAGGGAAGGAATAAATTGTGTTAGCAGAGTCATCAGTGATTGGCTAAAGAGAAGCTAATGGCTAACTTAAGGCTAGCAGAGAGTAGTTAGTGACTATTTAAGAAAAGGGTAAATTAAGAGGAAGTCACATAGTCATGCATTAAGCAAAACTTGTGTCAATGTTAGGAAATTGTCCATGAGCCCTTAAGCCTGGGAGTCTTATCTGAGGTTTGCTTTTTGTTGCAAAAGACCAAGGAAGCTTCCCAGGGGTCTTGATGCTCTGGGGGGAAGGTGGGGGGAGGGTGGTCTTATCTCTCCTGGAGCTTGCCTTTTGTCTCTGGAGACAGGAATTTCCTGCCCTGGGACTGCTGTACTTTGCCTCAACCGGATAGCCAGTTTATAAAGCTAAGGCAATCCAGTTGCAAACTGATGGTTGCTCAGATTTTTTTTGATACGATTATACAAAAAAGGGAGATCATAACATAAGTTAGCAATGGAAATTCTGATTTTTCAGTGCTTTCCCCTTCCACCCAAATTTGTCAGTCGACAGAAGTTGCACAGCTTGTGTCACCTACTGAATAGACAAGATATAGACTCCACACCCCGCACTGTCTTATTCCCAGGCCAGTGGAATATTGGGCAATAAGACGGCCAGGTAGTTGCTAAGAGAGAAGTGCTAGAAGCCAGCATGATCTATATCAAAACTGTGATTATTATTCCAACTCTTGTATGCAGCAGAGATAGGGGTAGAAACAGCCTTGAAGAGAAGAGGCAAGGATTATTTAATCAGGGCATGGGTTTTGATGATAGTTTTTAATTTAATGGAAGAAATACTGCCTTATACCACTAGAAAAGTTGTAGTTGTTCACTGCTAAAGGCCAAATATATCCTTCACCATATGGGGAAACAGTACCTGAATGAACACCCACTGGTGATTTATGGATGTCACCCCCACCTCTATGCCAGAGAGATCTCAGGCCCTGAGGACTACACCTGCCATCATGCTGTGAATCTGCCATGAGTCCTGACTTCTTCAAAGGGGAGGGTAAGTTGCTGGGAGCTAAGGGTGAAGTTCAGCAGCATGCTTGCTACAAAACCCAACATGTGGGCCTGCGGGCTCTTGATTTTGCCTCTCTTCGCTGTGCACCGGGGATCCCAGTTCAGTAGGACCCACTGGCCAGTTAATCCCCGAGTTCTCATTTCCCTTGTAAATAAACCTTTTCATTAACCTTTCCCTGTGTGCCTTTGCTTAATTTTTGGCCTAAATATGTTTGATTTTATATGACTTTCCCCCCCCCAGATTTAATTACACAGACAAGAACTGGGGTCTGGAGGTGCGGGGTGTGTGTCAAAGAATTTACAGAGACATTGGGGAGCAGAACAGACAGATACACTGAAATACACTACTGCAAGGAGTAGCGGGAGACATCTGCTGTGTTATATGAGTAGCAGCCAGGTTGGGTTCCAACTTGTGCTGCGGTGGCTGTAGATAACCTCATAGTGCTGTGCCTTAACCCCTTATGCCACCAGGGAGGCCCTGATTCTGACAAGCAACTTAGTAGAAACTATTTGAAGTTAATTTTTTTTCTCTTAAATAGAAATTTTAGGTGGTTATAATATTTGATTCTTATAAAAACAGACTGATATCAGTGGTTTAGGTTTGAAAAGGAAATCAGACTGGTATTTTTAGATCAAGATTTTTATGTGTGTGTGTGTGTGTGCAGAGTTCTAGAAGTGGTAGGATCACCTCTAGCTAGGACATGATTCTGGACTCAAAATTTATAATCTCTTTTGGTCTATGTCTTGTCACAGCAAAATTGACATATTTGATATCAGTAAGTGGTAGAATTTAGCAAAAAGGAAGTCAGCTTTCAGAGAAGCCTTTCATCTGATAGACTTAGGGCTGAAGTCATCCCTGGTTTGTATTGGATGGCCCAGGCAGGGGGCTATGGGAGCTTCCTGACCCTTAAGCCCCACTGAGGCATCTGGGAAGAGGCAGACCTCCCCGCTGCAAAGACCACGCCCACATCCTGTTTGTGCAACCCAGAGGCCTCCAGTACTCTCCCTTCCTTATCTGTACTTTCTTGCTGGCTGTTCCAGCCTTGGTATAAAGTTGTTGACTGTCTTCCACCCAGCACAGCCTTCCCTCCTAGTCCCGCGTAGCAACCAGCCCTTAATCAAGCTCTTTTCTGAGACAGTCCATGTGGGTTCTTTTCGGCAACACCTTACATCTTGGAGCCAGAACCCAGGGGACCTCCCGCCTAGGGCTTGCACCAGTGCCAGTTCCTGAACCCGGTTGCCAGCCCCTCACGGAGCCTCCCTCTCAGACCACTGCTTCACTGGCCTCACGTCCACTGCAGATTCCGGGGTAAGTTCTCCCTTTATCTCTTTTATCTCTGCTCACCCCTTTCTTGGTGATCTTGGACCAAACTACAAGGGCCTCCACCTCACTCCACAAAATCTGCAGCGCTACATGAGGCCCTGTACCCCATTTGGGGTTGTTCTTCCTTGTCCTTGGGGACCCCTGAATGAAGGTTGGGACCTACTTCTCAACTCCCTCCCAGTGGAGGAGACCCCCTGCCCTGGTACAGCCCGGATTACTCTTGTTTGTCCCCCCTGTCCTGTCCCAAGTCTTTCTCCTCTCCCTCTCTCCCTCTCCCTGCAAGCCAGCACAGGTAATTCACATTCCAAGGTCAGCCCGTCCACATCTCTGGGCTGTTTATTGCATTTGTTAGACTCTGGGCCTCAGGGAAGGCTTCAGGCCTCAGAGCCTTATTTTCTATTGTAACACTACCTGGCCTCCATATAAACAGGACAAGGACTCTCAGTGGCTGGAAATGGGACCTTCCATTTCCAGATTCTCACTGACCTTGAGAATTTCTGCCACCACACCTGCACATGGTCCACAATCCCCTACTCCTGGCTTGCTTTGCTCCACTGCTGACCCTCTCTGCTCAAGACCTGCTCTAACTACCAAATCCTTCTGGCTTCCAACTGCCGAAAAAGCAGCCAACCTCCTCCAACTCCTCTTTTGGTCTGACGATCCCCCTCTCCCTGAGGACTTCCCTTTCATGTTCCCTTGACAATCATGCTCCTCCAAGGGCACCCCTGACTCTCTGCCCACTTCCCCCGTCTGTTTCTAGTGATTCCTCTCTGGTTTACCTCCCTCCCCCCCATTAAGCCTCCATTACCCATTCACCCAGGACGAGTCTAGTTGCTGCCTAGCTTCTCTCCTCCAGTCACCTACCCCACCAAATCCCCCTCAGATCTTCCCTCCCTCTCCTCCACTCCTCTCTACCCTCTCCTCCTGCAGCCCATTCTCTGTTCCCTCTAAGGGAGGTGGCTGGGGCTGACGCCATTGTCTGGGTCCACTTCCTGTTATCCATCTCAGCTCTCTTCCAAATCGAAAATTGCGTAGGCTTCTTTACTAATGACCCCACCACTTACACTGAAGAATTCCAATACTTTACCCAGGACTATGACACGACATGGAGTGATGTTTATGTATTCCTCTCGCCCACCCTCACTGCCAACACAAAAAGGTCAGGGTCTGGAGCGCAGCCAAGATCCATGCAGATGAGGCTCATAGAATGGAGCCCTCCTTTCCTGTGGGGGCTGAACCTGTCGCCTGCACTGAACCTGAATGGAATTGTCAGACCTATACCACTGAGACTGGACGTGTCTCCCCAGGACAGATGGCCGGCTGAGTTCGTGAGCCGCTTGCCTGACTGAGGCCTTGGTCAAATCTATGCACCTTGACCCTGAGTCGGCAGAGGGCAGGTGATTCTTAGCTCTCGTTTTATCTCCCAGTAATCACCTCACATTAGAAAAAAGCTTAAAGCAGAGGAGGGCCCTCGGCCTCCACAGAGACTTGTGGAGGTAGTCAACAGTTGAGATGAACAGGAAAGAGACGATAAGGAAGCCTGGGGTAGACAGCTGAGCTCCTGGCAGCCACCCTGCGTGCTCCTCACCAGCCACAGACAACAGGAGCAAGACAGCCCTGCCCAGGGGCGCTGCCTCTCCAAAGGCAGAACTCTTTGCTCTCACCAAGGCCTTCACCCTGGCAAGAGACAAACAAGTCCAATTTACACTGACTTAAATATGCTTATCACATTATTGGCCATCATGTGGCCATCTAGGAGAGGGAATTCCTCTCCACTAAAAGGACTCCTATAACTAACAGATGCCTCATCTTACAGCTCCTGAGGCCTCCTACCCTCCAGCCAACGTGGCCGCCATCCACTGCAAAGGCTGTCACCCCTGGAGAAATTCTAAAGCTGACAAAACAGCTTGCTCCCTGGCCCAATATTTCAACCCTCATCCACTTCTCTTTCTCTCTGTACCTCACCACATACCCCAAAATCAACCTGAAGAACAAGCCCACCACTTAAGTAGAGCTGTACCAGGCTCCCAGGGGTGGCTAATTTGGCAGGCTGTTTGCCTTACCAGACACTCAGTGGAAAGAGTTGCTCTCTGCCATCTCCCAACCCCTCCACATTGGCCCTTGAGCTCTTCACTGCTTCCTCTCCCTACTTTTTAGCACCCTCAACTTCCATCCGTCATCCAACAGGTCCACAGCAGCACTTGTACAATTTAGTCTCAGGTCTCCCCCAAGGGGGCTTACTCACCCCCCTCTTTGTTTACAGCTCACCAACTTTGGGGCCATCTCCAGGGGCAAGGCTGGCAGGTTGACTTGACACACATGCCTCCCCACAAAGACAAATACCTCTTGACCATGGGAGATCCCTGAAAGGACAGGTCCAGGCATTTTCTTGTACAAGGGAGAGAGCTGACATAGTCACTACCCTCTCAGGCATTATACCTCATTGTGGTGTCCTGAACTCCCTCAAATCAGATAATGGCCTGGCCTTCATCTCAAAGATCAGTTAGTCTTCTAGACACTGGGCATTACCTGGGACCTACACATTCCTTCTATTTTTGTTTTAAAGGTTTATTTACTTATGCACACAAGAACTGGGGGGTTGGGCAGAGGGGTGGAGTATGAGAGGATTCACCAGAGACAGAGACAGAGTGGGGAACAGAACAGGCAGATCTACTGAAATACACACTGAGGGGAACAGCGGGTAGTCAGGAAAGGTCTGCTGTACCATGTGGGTCAGCTCCCTGGCTGGGATTGAACTTCTGCTGCAGCGGCTACAGACAGCTTCATAGTGCTGTGCCTTAACCCTTTACACCACCAGGAAGAGCCCTACACATTCCTTCTAGACCCCAGTTGTCAGGAAACATGGAAAGGGCAAAAGGCCTACGCAAGGACCACCTCACCAAGCTGTCTCTGGAACTAAAACCAACTGGGTCCAACTCCTACCCTTAACCCTAGCAAAAATCAGAGCCATATCCAGGGGACCTACTCACCTAAGTCTCCGTTTGAACTCATGTACAGTCACCCCTTTCTCCTCCAGTCTGTTTCCCCCTCACCTCTGGAGAGCTATTTCTCATATATATATCCCTCTTAGGATAGCCACTTCGGGAACACACAGACTAGATCCTTCCCAACCAAGCACGGACACTCCAACAGCTTCAGTCTACCCAGGGGACCAGATCTACGCAAAGGGGCTCCAGCTGCAACCTCCGAACCCCGCTGGACTGGACCACATCTGGTTATTCTCACACCACCAACGGCGGTCAAGCTCCAGGGATTCCCACAAAGGCACCACCTGTCCAGAGCCAACATGCTCCCTCTCCTTCAGAGGACCAGGCTAAGTACCCCAGTTAACCCATGGGGCCGACTGAGCTCTGCCTCGCGAGAGTCGCTTAACCTTCCACACCTTCTCTTGGGGCTCTCCCTTCTCCCATTAGCCTTCTCCGCAGCTGGGACAAAATACACATGGCAATTTCAGGTCCTGGCGGTTGATAAGGGAAATAAGGTTCTCAATTCTACCTTTTGTCCTACTGTGAGTTGTGATTCTGCCCTGACAATTACCTTCAATTCAATGGCCGCCTGCTCCCAGGGATGTATAACCACCAACCCAGAAGTATGGACGCATTTCACCCCCTACCTCTGCCTTATGTCTGACCAGACTGCCTCTTACTGCAAGGACCCTGCCTGGGGAGGGTGTCCATACTGGAGCTGCATATACCATTACCCGGGCAGATCTGGTTCTAGGCTAGTCAACCTCCCTAGGTCCAATATGGTAACCTTCACCATCCAAGACCCATGGGACAAAAAATGGCAGGACGGGGTGTCTGGAGCAGTCTATCAATACTGGAAAGTCGCTCCACAGGGAAAAATTAAGATCATCAGGACACGCCAACCCACTCCCCAGTCAGAGCTGGATGTGGTTACTGATGTCACAAAAGAGGCCATGGGGGCTCCCTGACCCTTCAGGCCCACTGAGGGCATCTGGGAAGAAGCAGACGTCGCAGCTGCAAAGACCTCGCTCACGTCCTGCTTGTGCAACTGAAAGGCCTCCAGTACTCTCGCTGCCTTGTCTACACATTCCTGCTGGCTGTTCCAGCCCCGACCCTCCTTCCTCTCACTGACTTCTGGTATAAAGTTGCCCAGTCTTCCACCCGGCGCACCCTTCTTCCTACTGAAGCCTGCCTGCAACTGGCCCTTAATCAAGCTCTTTTTTGAGACAGTTTGTGTGGGTTCTTTCGGTAACACCTTACAGTTTGTATTTGATAAACTTTCATGCTACTGGGAAAAAATTCCCCCTCACTTATTTCTGATCTCAGCTTATTTCATCGCATTCCTGTTGAGAAATAAATAATACCTCATATCCCCGCAAAGGTAAATCGAAGTCAATCTGTTTTTCTACCTTTTCACTTCGTCTGTGAAGATTCCAGAATTTCCTCTGGCTATTTGTTTTTCAAGTCTTCGGTGATGTCTTTGAAACAGAATGATCCCAAGCATTCTCACTTAGATGAGAACTACTATAGATGAACTTACACCTCCCCATGGGACCTCCTGAAACTTAGATGCATTGTGGGTGACAGAGAGACCTACTGAAAGTCAGTGATTATCTAAGCTTATCTCCCAGACAGTGTTGTAGAAACGGGAGTTAGTGGTGTACCTGGAATTGTATCCTCCAAGACACCTACTTCCTGAAGTCAATCTATACCTGATCCCCAAAAGTCGACTGATAGTCAGCAGAGATAGTATTTCTTCATTCTGTGCCCTCTGATGAAATTACTTTTTCTTTTCATCCTTTCTTTTCCTCTGCCCTCTATGGCTGTCAAAAATCTTATCCTGGGGCCCTCCCTGGTGGCGCAGCGGGTTAAAGCGCAGCACAAAGAAGCTTAAGCCACTTCCGCATGAGTTCGATTCCCGCCTGCCCCCTGCCCCGAGGAGATCCACATGGCGAGGCAGACCTCTCCTGACCCGCCCGCTGCTCCCCTCAGCACTGTGCTTCATCAGTCTATCTGTTCTGCTCCCCACTCTGTCTCTGGTGATTCCTTTCACTGCCCCTGAGCCTCTGGCCTGTACCCCAGTTCTGTATGCACAAATAAATAAATCTTTAAAAAAATCATTTGGTAGCCTAAAATATACACTTTGGGGTGTGGAGTCAGGCTCTGGTACTGACTATACAAGAATAATCTTGAGTGTTTCCTCTAATTTCTAAAGGTTTAGAATTTTCCTTATGAGAGTTTCCTTATGAGATTTTTCTTATTCAGTTTTTAAAAATAAAGGAAAATTAAGATTTTTCTTCATCATTTTTGAGTCTGTTTGGCAGAATACCCAAGATTTATGTGTATTTATAGCTCTTTTATATTGTTGGTGCCTAACATATAATCTGATTTCAAAACACATTTGCCAAATAAATGAATGACTCTTCCAGTAAAGTGTATCCAAAACTGCCAAGCTTTAAATTACATACTAATTTGGAAGATTAATTTACTTAGAATTCTATAACATGTGAAGGCCAAATTAAGAATCACTCATCATTATTGTCAATATGTTTTCCAAAGTATGCACCCAAAAATAAGGGTTAGTTTTCAGGGTTATTTTGAAATAACAAAAATTTATTTTTCTGAACTTATGTGAGAATTTGAAATGTCTTTTTTTCAATCCTGCTGGGATTATTTTTATGGTCCTTAGGAGTTATTTGAGTATAAGTAATATAGACAAATATGAATTGTGGGGCTTCTGTGACCCTTAGAGGTTCCAGTTCCAACTTTTTCCAGTGGATGTCACTCTGGCAAAAGTATCTCAAACATCTGCATACAGCAACAGAGGGCAGAAGATGCAAGTCTAAGAGTCGGCTACTTCAAGAGAAAATATATTGGATGATATGGCGACGACAGGCCAAACATCAGTTCGCAGTTTTTGGAAGCAGAGTGGTTTAATGAACACATTTATCTGATCTGATACGAGTCTGCAAGCAAACAAAAACCATCTCTATAATGAGTTTGGAAGCCACTGAAATTGGTGTTGTTTGCAAAGACACAGCACGTAAATCTTCCCATCATCTGAACTGCCTGGTGCACAGACATAGCAGGTTCCAGACCTTCGTCTCCGCTTCTATGCCTTTTACAAAGTGGAAAATGGAATCCTTCAGGCTAAATATCTGGCACTAGGCTCAAGCCCTGCCTCTCTCCCTGCAGGAAGTCAGGACAGACAATAGAGGAAGTCTGAAGCCATGACAAAGTTGTTTATTGAAAGGAGTGGTAATGGTTCAGAGTGCCTGAAAATTAACAGAAGTTGGGTTAAAAATGTCTGTCTGGAACTTTATGGCTCCAAAGTAAACAGTATCTTTGAACTTGAGCAGCTGTCTGGTGACTTCTGTCTGCTTCTTAGTGTTAGCTTAATGGCAAGGTAAAAGAACTTACGCAACTAAGAGCTGTTCATCCACAGCATCCACTAATATTTTTCTGAAATGGGAAAACAGGTCTGTTTTCAGATAATATTCAGCTGTGCAGGGGGGAAACAGATGTATTCATTAACATTCCCCTCGGAGCATCTTGCCATATTCTCAAGTGGAAAGTGTTCGAACTGAGATTACACACATGTTTTCTGTTACAAAAGCTGTTATAAAAATCACGAACCATAATTTTCATGGAGAGACTTATTTGGGGCCATTTTCTGTTGTTCCCATATTAAGTGGAAGGTGATTTTCAAATGACTGTAAGTTACAGTCCACCTTGTTTTAGAGAAGTTGTGTTTTGTTGTTTTTTCTGCCTAAAAGTTGGAAATGTACCTTGTTTAAAATTAAATTTTCCATTTAAAGATATTAGACGTCCCAGCGAAGAGAAAGTTTTAATGAAGTTGAAGGAAACTCAAGGGCAAGAAACTTTAAATATTATCACACTTAAGTGGAACTAGACACTCCAAATTAGCATTAATGCTTCTGCTTGAAACCTGAGGACCAGTAGGATGATGAACAGGGGGAGCTCCCTGGTAGGCTAAAGGCTAAGTCTAAGCACTATCAGCTTTAGGGCCTGAGTTCGATCCCCAGCCAGGGAGGTGACTCACATAGAGCAGCAGACTTCTGTCTCGCTCACTTTTCCCCTCAGCAGTGCATTTCAGTTGATCTGCCTGTTCTTTTCCCCACTCGTCTCTGGTAAATCCTCTCACTCTCCCACACCTCTGGCCTATACTCCAGTTCTAAGCAGAAAAAAAAAAAAGAATAGGGAGGACACCTACTGGAAATCTCCAGAAAATCAGTATTGTGGTGCTTCACGAACAGCTTTGGATGCATTAATACTCTGTTGGGGAGAGAAGTCTCACCAGAGAGAGGCCTGATGCCTCATGGGCAGACACCCAGGCCTGAGGTACAGAAAGGGGTATAACAGTTCCATGATGTTCTTATTGGTATTTCAGTCAGAAACAAAAGAAACAGATTTTAATGGCACACAGAGAGGCAGGGTTTTCATGACCTTAAGTAGGACCTGACTGCAAATCTGTTACAGGCCCCCACCCAACATCCTGTTCATTACATACATTCATCTTCCAAATGCCCAAGGCTGACTTGTTGTAGTTATGAAAGGGACTCAAACACTGTAAAATTTGTTGATATGCTCTGTTTCGTCATCTTCTATTTAATGAATGTTGGAGTGACTACCTTCCCTGATGCCAAGTTACACAGCATTTGTAGAATTGCCATTATCCACAAGTTTGAGTAGGTGACGTTGAGGGGCTCCTTAGAAGTGGAAAACAAGGGTCGCTTTCAGGAAGCAAAATTCCACAACCGGAATCTACCAGCAAAAGCCAAGGTGAATTCGGTAGGAACACTTTTCTTAACCAGAAAGCTAATGACTTGGTTCATGCTGTGTGCCATTTGCTCTAAACCATTTCTTGATTTTTTTATTTTTTAAAAAAGATTTATTTATGCATACAGAACTGGGGTACAGGCCAGAGGTGCAGGGGTGGTGAGAGGATTCACCAGAGACTGAGTGAGGAGCAGAACAGGCAGATCGATGAAGTACACTGCTGAGGGGAGTAGCGGGCGGGTCAGGAGAGGTCTGCCATGCCATGTGGATCACCTCCCTCTCCAGGAATCGAACTTGTGTTGAGGGGGCTTTAGCTTTGTAGTGCTGTGCTTTTAACCCATTGTGCCATCAGGGAGGGCCCCTCTAAACCACTTTTTTTTTCATGTCACCCATCTGCATGTTTTCATATCCCACAGCAACCCTGTCCTAATTTCTGTGTGTCATCAGTTGAAGAACTTAGGCAGCACATGCTTTTGGGCCTTCACTTTAAGGGAAGGAAATACATTGGGCGAAGTTCCTTAAGTGCCCAGGCTGGCTCCATGAATCACTGGCGGACACAGGACCGAGCCTAGGTCCACTCTGCTCCCAAATGAAGCTCCATCCCTCACAACACTCTTCCTTCTCAAAGTGCTACTATGACTTGCATTTCAGAAACTGATGGGGATTACTGTTCCTCTTTAGTAAGAAGCAAGGAAGCAGGTAGCGTTCACCACACAATTAGACATGTTATAACTAAACACAGGGATGTTTTAAAAATCAGTGAAGTCAGCTAAGAGAATGAGGCTAAGAATGTTCATTGACAGAGTCCTCTTAGTCAATACACATAATGAGGATGTAATATATTTGGGTGTCAAGATTTACAGTAATATGCACACGACATCCACAAAACTCATTTTTAAGAAAGTAGCAATGTTCTTTCTAATTGGCAAACACAGAAGCAAACAACATACTATTTACAAATGAAAGAAAATGCTTCAAGTGATACCAGGCTTGGATAACTTTTGATACCAGCCAAAAGCCAATGGCTTCATTTACCATCCCATGTTTTCTGTCATTTCAATAGTAACTTGCCTAAAATAGGCTCCACACACAAATTCTCACTATTACTGATAAGTTAATAACCTGGAAGTCAGTATGATGAATTCCTGCCTGAAAAGTCCTTAAAAATAGAAGGATATGAGTTATACATATGGCATTTCTATTGTATTAATGTTTTAAAATTCAGAAGCTTAACATTTCATTAAATTTAATGTAAGAAATGCATATCTCAAGAAAAGCCTTCACTTGAGCATGAATTTTGTTGATGAAAATGTCAGGGGCGTGATCCCCAGGGAATTAAAAACAGCATGAAGCTAAAACTAAAAATATATGTTTAAGGGAAAAATTGTTCTCTGTGGCAAACATCTTTTTTCTTTCTCAAAACCAAATGCTCTTAGCAAAGAAGATTCCTCTTCATTCTTCTAGCAACCTGCAAGGAATGAGATCAATTTTCCAAGAGGAGGGAAAGTAGCAAAGATTTTGTTGCTCTTTGATTTCTGACACTAATTGTTCTGCTGCTTTCTGTAGCTGTTATTATTAGTTTGGCAAAATATTTACCTGGAAGTAAAAAGATTATATCTGGGCATAAATTTGGGGGGGGGGAGTCTCAGTTTTTACAAGAAAAAAATCCCAAGGCTGTTAATAAGAAAGTTAGTAGACCGTTTCTACAAGGAATTTTCTAAAATATCACCTATTAGCCATTGAACACAGACTTGTCGCTAACTCTTACTTGTCACAGCACACTGTTACTACGCCTTCCAGCACTTTTTGAAACAATAAAGTATTCCAACTATTAAAGCCAGATTTTCCTTTTAATCCATTTGAACCTGAATTTACACAGCTTTCTGTTGAAGCAGACATTAATTGCCTGTTCAATCATGTAGCAGTGGTAGGTAAAGGATAAAATGGAAAAATTAAAAGACATAATTATGCTCAAAACCAAAATAAATGAAGACTAAGAATGAGGTAAGTGGGCTGAAGTCTCAGGACTGAGGTCCTGGAAATGGACAGAGAGAGGGGATTTGTCTCTGAAGGGGTA